AATCAAAGTGCCATTCCAAATTTCACTGCAATCCTTTTTTGAATTGTCAGGTGGAGTTTAAAGTTGAGAAATGAGAGATTACGCACTTTGGCTGGAAGAATAGAGGGACTGAATATTATTTAAATTGAGAAAGGCTGCATTAAGCTGCAGCACAGAGCGATTTAGAGGGTCCCTATCTCAAAATTATTTTAAAAAGCTAGCATGAAAGATTAGCAGGTAATAGGGAATGCAAATGGAATATTGACCTTTATTTCAAAAGGTATATAATATTAAAAAAAATAATAAAAGCTGAGACCGGCAAAACTCAGCAGATCTGGCAGCATCTGCGGAGAGAGAAACGGATATAACCTTTCAAGCCCATAATGACACTTGAGATACTGCAGATCTGCTGAGTTTCTCCAGCACTTTGTTTTAAGTTCAGATATCAGGCATCCTCAGTACTTCACTTTTATAAAAATAGGCAATTCTTGTTTAAACTATATCAGGCCCTAGTTGGACCACATCTGGAATACTGCGAACATTGTTGGTCCCCTTATCTAAGGAAAGATGTACTAGTATTTGAGGGCAGTCCAGAGAAGGTTCACTTGGTTGATCCTGAATATGAAGGGATTGTCTTATGAGATGTTGCGTAGGTTGGGCCTGTACTCATTGGAGTTTAGAAGAATGAGAGTAGACCTTACTGAGACGTATCATATTCTTAGAGGGTTCTCCAAGATAAATGCCAAGAGGTTATCTCCTCTTGTGGGAAAGTCTTGGGCCAGAAGGCATAATCTCAGAATAAGGGGTCATCCAGTTAGGACAGAAATGAGGAAGAATTTAGAGGGGAGTGAATCTTTGGAATTCTTTACCACAGAAGGCTGTAGAAGCTGGGTTATTAAGCATATTCAAGGTTGAGATAGAAAGGTGTCTGATCAGTAAGGGAATTAAGGGATATGGGGAAAAGGCAGTAAAGTGGTCTCGGGGATGACCAGATCAATCTTGGTCTCATTTAATGGTGGAACAGACTTGACACACTGAATGGCCTATTTCTGCCCTCTTATCATAGATTCCTACAGTGTGGCAGCAGGCCATTTGGCCAATCGAGTCCACACCGACCTTCCAAACAGCATCTAACCCAGACCCATCCTCCCTACCCTATCCCGGGAACCCTGCATTTTCCATGGCAAAATCACCTAGCCCGCACATCCCTGGACACTATGGGCAATTTAACATAGCCAATCCACCTAACCTGCACATCTTTGAACTGTAGGAGGAAACCTACATCTGGAGGAAACTCCACACAGACAGTCACCCAAGGGTGGAATCAAACCCGGGTCCATGGTGCTGTGAGGCAGCAATACTAATCACTGAGTCCGTGCTGTCTTATTGTGTAATCAATTTAGGTTGATCCACTCCATCAATTTTGGGAACATTAATTTATCAAGAACAGATATTAGAAACCAAATCAAAAACATAGTCAGAGCTCATTTTGAAAGGAAAAGGGGTAAAACAGTGAAATGACTTAGCAAGGGAATTCCAGAGCAAAAAAGCCCTGTGATTTTTAGCGGAACTGAAAGGATATCAGAACTGTCTCAGATTTAACTTGAAGCTCTACAAAAAAACCCGGAGAAAACCATTTATTTTTGATAAAATTGGAGAAGGTCATGTCCCAATGATATTCCATTAGATCCTCAATTCATTTATACAAAGTAATACATTTTAACTCATCTTCAAAAGGAAAACAGATGTATTTTTTGTGCAAATTCATTTCAACTGCTTCATCCCAAATATTCACATTAATCCGTGATTCTTATTAGTATTGATATCTGTGCTTGTAGCAATATTTTATCATTGGTAAGTTTAATAGTCTTGGTGCCCATGCATCAGATCTCATTCACTTAGTTGTTCTTTCCCCTAGCCACAGGTAATTAAACAGAGACCGAGCTTCAAACAATTTGTACAGACAATCCACCCACCTTTCACTGCACAGAATGTAAACCATTTTAGATGGGATTGTCCAAGAACTTCTTCTGTTCAGTGAACTGGTCACTGGTTCATGACCTACAAGGTCATCTGCAAGAGAGATCGCAAGATGGTTGACACAAACCTTTTCAGCCCATGGTCTTGCTCTGCGGCTAATGCAACAGAAATTGATGTGCAGATTGAGGCTCCTGAACCACACCAGAATTCATAACAGAGTTGACCACTTCAGCACAAAACTATCATCTTAGAAATGTTAGGCAATTGTAAATTAATCATAAGCTGTAAACATTATCATCCAGGTAGAAAGAAGTAGTAACTAAGTAAGTAATAATTAGAACAGACACTTTAATCCACCAACAAACTTGTATCTTTTCTTTAAGGTGAAACTGTCAAATTTAAAAAGTATGACTTCACATTTCCACAACATATAGATAACAATCTCAATGATACCATGTATATTTGGCTGCAAATGAAATTGCTGATTTTATATGTATTAATTAACAATGATTCTGCTGAATCCCATATCAATTTTAAAAAGTTATAATCAATGTAGTTCTCTGGAAACTGTTTGTAAATACTGATATGTTATGGTACAGCATATTTAAACAACAGAATACTCTGAAGAAAAACAGCACTCTGAAGGCTCTGTCCAACACAGCAACAAGGAAACACCAATTTATACTTATCCATTAACCTTCATTGAGAAGTTTAAAACTTGGATTGTGAGACTTTTCAGATTCTTTTGATGCAACCATTTAATGTAACTATTATTTACATTGCTGTAAAAGATTCATGCAATTACAGATGCATTGTTCTTTACATCCCATTGCATGACAACTGAATTATCACTCACTCAGGAATAGTCAGAACTGCAGATGCTGGAGTCAGAGATAACAGCGTGGAGCTGGAGAAACACAGCAGGCCTGGAAACATCAGAGGAGCAGGAAGGTTGACATTTCAGGTCAGGACCCTTCTTCAGAAGGGTCCCTCTGATGCTGCCTGGCCTGCTGCGTTCCTCCAGCTCCACACTGCATTATCTTATAACTGAATTATCACATTCTCTTTGGTGCCGACAGCTCCATTGCTGATTATATCTTTTAAACAATTTACCATTTCCATTACAAAACCTTCAGTCATTCCTCCCACAGGCCCCTGCCGGTGGTCATCAACATTTCAATCATCATGGACCCCAAATTTTCCATGGCTTTTTCAATGTCTCAGTTTTGACTTTTAAAAACCTGGTCATCCTAAATATGAAATAACAACTTTCACTTATGTAGGAGCATCAATATACAAAAATGTTGCAGTTTCACGGTGCAGAATCAGAAAAGAAAAACTGGTTAATGATGCCTAGCAAATTTATATACCACCATGTAAAGATGTGCACATAAAGCTGGTTGAGCTAACAGTGATAACTTCCTCAGGGCAGAAAAATATATTTTTGGATATTCAAGTCTAATTTAAACACAAAATTTGGACTTTGCAGTGCATACGATATTTTTAAAAGTTACATTTTCACATACATTCTAATTAGGAATTAGCTGGCATCTTCAGAATGAACACTCAGGTTGCTGTGCTGATATTTCCTTTTCCCATTTGTCTTCAGAGCCTTTAGGCTAAGTAAATATGCAATTTTATTTCAAGATGTTGAATGTTAATAGCAGACATTTTCTCTGGTCAGTGATAATTTAATGACAAGTGTGGTCTTACTCTTCAATGTATGTATTACAAAGGGACAGGGGTGGGAGAGGTTGGTGAGACGAGCTATTTCTTATAGTTCTTCATATTCAGCTGACAGTAAGAATTAATATTGAGTTCCAGGCTGTAGAGATACAACTTTAGATTTTCCTCAATGATTCCTACTTTTGTGAAAACTATTTTTTGATATCATCGAGATAGATTACTAAATGTAGCAGATGTAGGCAAAGTATTTTACTGTCTCCACAGTGAACTCAGTTTAGATCCTATACAACAGTGAGATGGAATAATAAAGGGCCTTAGCACACAAATTGCTGTGGATTTTAAAACCTTTTATTAAAGTGGTGCCAGAAAGCTTGCACAGAAAGGCAGAAGTTACAACATGGAAGCAGGCCTCCTGCCCAAGCAGTCAACATCGGCAGTTATCCTCCACTTGAGAAAATACTTCTAATCACATTTAACTTCCCTGTTTTCATATCCTGTCAACCAACTGTTATTTTCTTATCCAATCTTTAAAAATGCTGATATAGCAGGAAAGTTATATCAAACTGAACAGCCAGGTCGAGTCTGCCAATCTATCAAAACCTATCCAATTTTACAAACGTACCTATGCATGAGGGACAGGAGTAGGCCACTTGGCCAACTGCCATGGTGGGAGTTGAACCCATCTTCCAAGAATATTGGCTTGGGGTCTCAGATCAATAGTCTAGGGACTACCACATCACCACCACTTCTAAGGCCTGCTTGGCCATCAATAATAATATTTGCGCACAATCCAATTGTGACCTTAACTTCACATTCGTATCTACCCTCGAAAACCTTTGGATTTTACTATTTATTAACCTCAACCAAATTTAATATCAAGCACAATTGTAATACCAGCAGTGTACCCAAAATGTATCCAGGACCCGGGTGTAGAAGTACTTCCAGCTCCATAGCATTCCTGAGGTGAGCAGCAAGTAATTTAAATTTGTTCACGGAAAATTGGCAAGCCAACTCTGAAAATAGGTTAGAAATGGTCAACTTGATGCAATTGTTAAAATTGGGACTGATCTTCAATTTTTGGTACATCTTGGATGTCATGATTTAAGTACTTTTATTGATAATTTGAATGTACACATTAGAAAAAGCTAATTTTAGGTGCAAAACAAAATATTAGTTTTGCAATTTGTAGCAGAACCCATACTAATAGAACGTTTAAATACAGCCAGCATTGCAAAAGTAAAGGTCATTTTTCTTTGTAATCTGATAGTCATTTTAATATTATATTTAGCTGAAGCATAAATGGACTTAATATACAGATTATACCAGAAATCAAACAACTTAAATGAAAAAGTTTGTTTAGTGAATTGTTGTAATTTTTATTACTTATATAAAACCACATTAAGCTTGTATAGTAACTTTAAACAAGAAATAATTAGGTTACAAAATTGACTTAAAGGGCAGGGTATACTTATACAGAAGCACTATAAAATCTACACAATGCTCACAAACCATAATTTGAGATTGAATTTGTTAATAGCATCCTGCGGGAAAAAAACAAAAGCCTGCTGAATCTGCCAAAACTTTGGATTCAGTAAAATTTCATAATCTGGTTTTGCTAAATTGAAACAGTTATAACAAGTGTAACAATTTGCAGTATTGCAAATGTGATTTATTTGTAAACTAATTGGATTATTTGAACTGTTAATTTTCAGATTGTGATTAACTGTACAGTCAGTTATACTTTATAATTCTAAAGAGGAAAAGAACAAAGCATATTTGAATAACATTAACAATACAATGTTGACATATGAATAAAACATTAGGAGGGGGTCATTCCATACTTTGAGGTGAAGTACAGTACAAAAGCCACAAAGAAACGTACTTACAATATGTAACAGTTACAGTCAAACTTAAAATTACTATTTTCAGTCACATAATCCAAGTTAAATTATACTGTGTATGGTTTAGTAACCAGCCTCTAGCAAGTGGTCAGTGCTTTCAGATAGCTCCTTTTTAACTCAACAGTGCACAATAAGCAAATCTATTTTAAATAGCAATCAACAAATTCATTGTGGACCTAGACAGCAACAATTTGCATATCAATATCAACAGACTAATCCACAACATTCCATTTTTATGTTCTGTGGTACAAAATGATTTGTTTTTGTTTGCTGTACACATTCTTTCATCTCAATGCTTTTCAGTGCAACCTGATACAGGCAGCAAAATGGGGTTCTCTGTCACAAAGCTGACGTCAACCAGTCATATTCTCAGCAGCCTAAGGAGAAACAACATTCAAATTAATTACAGAACAGATTCTTGTTATTTTTCTGGTACAATAAATGTTAAGTGTGTGTTTAAAGTGTAAAGTGTAGTTTTGTTTTTCATATCCATTTTGCCTATATTATTAATACATGTTAAAAAGTGCTCAACACTGCACCACAGTTGGTCAAACTTATAACTACAAAATTTAAATTATGACTACTGACCAATCCCTGATGTCTTAAAAAAAGGATGTTTCAACAGGATACAGCAGGTAAAACTGAAATAACAAATTTTATTCCCATTCCCATTCATGTAACTTCTGGGTAGATCTCGGTGTCGCAATCGGTTAGCGCGTTCAGCTCTTAACTGGACGGTTGGTGGTTCGAAACCACCCAGAGACGACAGGTTCCCTCACTTTTGGGGTGGCACAATGGCTCAGCTGTTAGCGCTGCTGCCTTACAGCACCAGCAACCCGGGTTTGATTCCACCCTCGGGCGACTGTCAGTGTGGAGTTTGCACGTTCTCCCCGTGCCTGCGTGGGTTTCCTCTCACAGTGTAGATGTGTAGGTTAGCTGAATTGCCATGTTAAATTGCCCATAGTGTTCAGGGATGTGTAGATTAGGTGGGTTACAGGGGGATGGGTCTGGGTGGTATGCTGAGGTTTGGTGTGGACTTGTTGGACAGAAGGGCCTGTTTCCACACTGTAGTGATTCTATGATCTATGTGTTCAGTAGCTAGAATTAGTCTAAACGTGATTTATATGAATTAATTTGCCCAAATCAAAGTACATGTGAAATATTACGATCCTTTATAGCTTTTTTTTTTAAAAGAAATGTTTCCACAGGCAAAAGATTATTCCTTTATAAAAAAGGATCTTCCGTCCATGCTACAGTGATCGGACACTAGGTGTACAATACAAAGCATTCGTTTTGTTCCTCAGCTCCTCTGTTGGATACTCACACACAATGATTTTACATTTGGGTTCAGATCCATTGAAAATACAAAGTGCATTTGACTTGATATCTGCCAAATTGTGGCACACTGACCACAGCAGAAAAGGACACTGAATTATCAGACACAGCACTGTTAGCTCAACTTGCCTATACCTGTATTTGTGTTTCACAGAAGCTGTATCCTAAATCTATGACATGGATATTTCAAGGAGTGATGATTTCCATTGGATTGCCATTCTGCTGTGGCTTGTATGTGTTAGAACCAAGCTCTGTGTTTCTTACTGGTCCTTCAGAAACGTGAAGCATACCTGAAATGCAACTGTACTTTTGTAGTGCAAATAGTCAGAGCAAGTCAAACTATGACTCTTTTTTAAAGAAACAACAGATGCCATATTCTGGTAAGTTTAAATGTCCCATGGCTGTATGTTGAGAATTATTCATTCATCATGGCTGGTATTCCTTTGTTTAGTGTAAACACCGAGCTCAACCTTCATCATTCCCAACAGTGAGCAACCTCCTCATCACTTTCATCGGTGACAGTGATATCACACCACCAAACCCCTGCCTCATCCTCAACAATGTCGACTTCTCTGGCAGTGGTCGGACAGGAGTCACAGATTCCAGAAAGCAGGTCAGGAGAGGTGGCGCAGGATGGGATAAACTCTGTCTGTCTCCAGTAGCGAGAGTGAGGGTGAACACTGTACATGAACAAAGGGTGTCGATCATGGTTATGAAAAGACCAAACCTTGAAGCAGGTACAGTGCTTTGGCTCTGTCGTTGGTTTACTGTGAGTTACAATGATAGACATTTATAGTCAGTTAATTAAGTGCAGGGCAAACTGCTCAAGTTTGCATTGTTCTGGTCAATTACTGAGTAATCCAGGGAGGGCAAAACTGACAACTGGAATTTTAAAACTCCCATGCCAGTACCACAGACACATACCGGTTGGGACTTCCTCAAGATCCTGAGGGGCATTAGTATCAGAACAGACCTCTTCTTACATCAGCAATGTGGCCATATGTCATAAAGTCATTAATTCTACTGGCAGCATAAACAGTTTTTCTTGGTTACTCCATCAAAACCATTCATAATTCGAAGTCGTCTATTAAAATCTCCCCTCAACTTCTCTTTGTAAATTTACAAAGGCATTACATCTACTGCATTTATCCATCTGTGCTTTATTACTCCTTCCAAAAAAAATTTCCATGACACAGTTCAAGCATGACCTTCCATTTTGAAATCCATGCTGACTATTCTATATTCCATTTCTAGATTTAAGTACCAGTTAATCCCTTTCTCAGCATATTTCTGTCGGTGTCAATTGCTGCTCAACCACGTGGATCTTCTATTTTGAAATCTGGTTGCAATTCATTCTTAGGAAACTGTCAACTTATAGGTCTATGAATTGCATGTGTAGTACAATATTTCACTGCAAAGATGTGCCAATCTCAACGCATTGCTTTTCTCCTAATCACATTTTTCCCTGTTGGATTCATTCACTCAAAATGCATCCATATAAACAATTGCTTCCTCAAATACAAAACTGGAATTAAGTGCTTATTCGTTCCTCTAACTATATCAAATTTGATAAGTAAATGGTGAAATTTTCACGTGTATAAAGAAAAAGCCTATCAATGCCAAAGTAGCAGATTCACTCAATCAAATCAGCTGCAGGGTTTCTGCTACTTTATTGATTAATCTTTCTGTCATGGGTTTGATATCCATTATCCACCACATATAATTCTTTTGTGACAACATATGGGTTCTCCAGGTATAATCTCAAGTCCTTTATAAGGATGTAAACAGTTCTAAAATATGTCAGAAAGTTGCCATAGGTGTTAACGATTGAAAGACTTTTTCTGAACAATTCTGCAATGGTATGTAATATGCTTCAAATTTTATTGTACATCAACCTTTCTTACTTTAAGTGAGTCAGCAGCCTTCCTCAGCTCCTTAATAACTGAAGCCAAGGCCTCAGGATTGATCCCTTGTTCACAAAGTCGGACACAAATTGAGAGAGACTCCATATCAAGGCCGGTATTCAGCAATCTTGAAATTTCAAGAAGAACTGAAAGAAACAGATATTAATTGATCATGTGATAGCAACAAGAATGAGCGACTTGCATTTGCACGGTACCTTTCAATCTCAAGGTGTCCAAAAAGTGCTTTAAAGCCAATGAAATACCACTGCTATAAAAGCTAGGAAATGCAGAAAGCAACTTACATACAGAAAGGTTCCAACATAGTAATCAGATGATGGTTTTGGGGTGAATACTGGACAGGTTATCAGTGAAAATAACTCAGAGCTTTTCTTCAGATTTATTCCACGAGAGCTTTATATCCACCAGACAAGCCTCAATATAACATGGTCAGCCTCAATTTTATGTTCAAATCTCTGGAGACGAACTCTGCAACCATGCTCCCACCTAAGGCATAACTGTCACTTGTATACTAGCAGCTTACTTTGTGGTAGGACTGCGTGCTTCAGCTCTGTAGCCATCTGTATTTCAACACTCATTACAGTCACTCTGAAGACCGTTTGCTGCACTTCAAATCAAAACACCACTGCATTAACTAGAAAAATTTCCAAACACATAGATCAACATTACTTTACAATCTCTGTTTGAAGCCAATTGACAGAAATATCAAGTTTGAACCTTCATGAATAGTAGCTCATAATTGGAAGAGTGAACAAAGGTGGTGTTCATATGCAGTCATTTACAAATCAACTTGATGAAATAATATGACAATTTTATAATATCTGCAAGTTACTTAAATGTGTAAGATGATTACATTCTAAATTGCTTATGCATGTGAGAGATTATGGGAAATTCCCTTCAGGAAGTAATTTAAGAAAAAAATTATAGTTCTGTAATTGTAACTACCTCAATATATACATTAGCCAAGCATGAGAAGTTTGCTTGTTTTGCTAAAATGAGCAGATTTTTCTCTCTGAATAGAAGAATTTCCTAAAGCACACACAAGCCTCAAGCATTTCATTGAAATGTATTCCGAACCCCTCAGGTAATGATGCTACAAATAGATCAATAAGTACACTAATCTTCTCAGGTTCAGGCAATAAGGACCACTCAAGAAATAGTTAGCTCACACTTTACCACACAAGAAAGGTTCATTATTGTATTCCTAACAGGAAAAGACAAGAAGAAAAAACTGCGTTTTATAAACACATTCTGGATACTTGCCTTCTACCAACAGTTATTATATTGAAAAGAAGCAATTCCTAGGTCAATGATGACAACAAGTACATAGTGAAGTGTCCCCTTCTTTGCTACTCCAGTTTCAGATGGTTTGCTTGGCATTGGGGTGGGGGGGGGGGGATGGTGGTACGAGAAAAGGAACAAAAGCATGAAAGAAACAGAAAAAGAGGGAGAGTGTGTATCTCAGGGAACCGCTCAATGTTAAAATGGGGAACTGACCGGAAAACTTAATGAACTATCTTTCTCTGTTATTTACCAATGACTATGCCTACGTAGTTTCAGAACGCTGTACCCATTGTAGGGAGTTAGACCCCGTTTTCACAGCAACTTGCAGAGACATCTCTAATTGCCTGAACTTAAACTGGATGACTTTTATCTGCTCTCTGGTATTTCTCTATCATAAGGAGGCTAGTTACATCATGAATGTAAGAAAGGAGAAAAGAAAAGACCCATGGCTGCCTCTTCAAAAGGCAGCAAGGAGGCTCAAGTCAAGTGCCAACTTCTTACACACTAGCCAGCTACAGACCGTAGTCCCCACAGTTGCCACCTTACTGATTCATCAACACAGCTACAGACGAGGGCACGAGTTATCTAAATGACCCAACAGGAACCAACAAGGTACTGCCTACTTGGCTTTATCTCAATGGTCTCAAGACTATTAGTTGCTGTAAGATCCTTATGCAAAAGTGACAATACTGCCAGATGAATTCTATTATCTGCGACTGTGGAGAAGACATCCCAAACATTGAAACATTTCCTAAAATGCCCTCTGTTAGCAGTCATGCAGCCATGAAGATCCTCAATTCTTGAGCCACAGCCAGCATACAGCAGTGGGGAGGAAAGTGTAGTTGCGTGACAGGATAATCTCACTTTCCCCATCTGCAAAATAATCCCATTTCTCTCTCACAGCACAGGATGTTAGTAAAACAATTAATACATATATCATCCTATCATTTAGTTGGTACCATTATTCAAGAAGTTGATAGGGATAAACCAGGAAACTACAGGATAATGAGTTTAAAATCATTAGCAGGGAACCAATTGAAAAAAAATTCTGAGGGACAGATTTAAACTTCATTTTGGAGAGGCAAGGAGTAATAGTCAACATAGCTTTTGGGGGTAGGAGTGGTGGAGATCACATCCAACAAATTTGATTGAGTTTTTCCACAGAGATGACAAGGTGTGTAGTTGAAGGTAGTCCAGTTGATTGTCTACATGAACTTCACTAAGGCTTTTGACAAGGTACACAAAGACTGGTCAAGAAGGCAACAGCTCATGCAATCCACGGAAATTTGGCAAATTGGACCCAATACTGGGTCAGTGGCAGGAGGGAGATGGTGATGCACCACAACATTTGTTACTGCTTGAAGTATACATCAATGACCGAGATATGAATGTAGTAGATATGAACAGTAAGTCTGCAGATGACATGAAAATTGTTGGTGCGGTGAATAGCATGAAGGAAAGTCTTAGAATAAAGGAGAATCGAGATGGGCTGATCAGAACGGAAGCAATGGAATATTGAAAAGTACAAGGTGATGCATTTTGGGAGAACTAGCAAGGCAAGAGAATACACAATGAATAGTAGGATGCTAGCAGTACAGAGGATCAGACAGCCTCGATAGATCCTTGACAGCATTAAGGGATGAGATAATTGATTTTATTAATCAAGACACTGTATGGGGTTCCAGTCACTGCACTAGAGGAAGGGCACACAGAAGATTCATCAGGATGTTGCTTGAACTGGAGCATTTCAGCTTCAAAGAGAGACTAGATATCCTGGGGTTATCTTCCTTACAGCAGAGAAGGCCAAGAAGGAATCTGACTGAAGTGCATAAAATTATGAGGGGCATATTTAGGAAAAGCTTTTGCCCTTTCTTAGGTGAGGGTCAATAACCAGATGGCATAGTTTTAAGTTAAGGGGCAGGAGGTCTAGAGGACATTCAAGGAAAGGAAGTGTCTTCACCCACAGGGTAAGGGATATTTCTAACTCATGGCCTGAAAGGGTGTTCAGAGTGGGAACTCTTGAGATGAACAACTCAAACTCCACAGCATACTAAGTGCTGGAAAATAGGATTAAAGTAGATATGTACTTGACAATCGGTGTGGACATGATGAGCTTATAGGCCTCTTTTCATGCTCTAAATCTGACTGAAATAGTCAATCTGGAGAAAGATGATACAATTAAATTAGAGCTTTATTGGAGGACTAATTAAGACTTGACATATAAATCAAAAGCTTTAAAGTGTTTGAATGCTTCAGATATTTGAAGGAACAACCAAAAGTGCAAGTTCACAGCTTCTGTTAAAAAATTAAATTATAATAAATTTAATCAATTGATGATCCCATCATATTTTGTAGAACTAGGCATGTATCCAATTTAAAATTCTTTAATGCAGACAGTTCGTGGGAGGAATGACTATCAAAACTTAACATTAGGTTGTGTTGTATTGTTGAATGCTGGAGGTAGAAGTGAGGTAATGGTTAAGAAACTGCAAGTACACATTGAACATGCCTTTCTAATTCATGTGTAGTTGTATACAAGATGTAACAAGCAAAGTTTACCAAATGTTGTAGAAATTTTAGATTCATTAACCTTTACATACATCTAATTCAGAGTGACACTTTTTAAGGACTGCTTACAGCAAATGAGATTCCCAAGTCATAATGACTTGCTGTAAGCCACATTCCATATACTAAAACATTAACTTCTGTGTGTGTGTGTGAGAATCAAAATACTAGCAGCCCTGAATTAATTCAATTTGAGGTCTAAAGCAATTTGAGCCATGTTTTATGAAACTAGTTGGCCTGTCATAACATTGATTAGGAGGATATGTTGGCCTTTAATGATAGTATAATGATCCTATGCAATACCCAGTGTATTATACAAGGTAAATACAACAACAATTATACAATTAAATGTATGATGAATAGATGCTATTGCTTTCCAAAGACAAGTTTAAAAACAGTGATCCAGATTGTCTGGTCTCTGGATAGTTGTTGACCAGAAAAACCCTGAAAGACGCACTAGGAGACCACTCTAAGTCCCAAAATACAGATCATGCTGCAATTACCCAGGAAGTTTAAACGTCCAGTGTACAATTAGCTAGCTCCTGGAACTACTTGAAAAAAAAAAGTCCCCACTCTGAATTAGTCTCAGAGATTTGTAGGGTTTCAATTTGCTTATTTTACCAGACATCAGTCAGTGGTATTTTCAGTTGATGTGAGATTTTGTATATTATACTTTTATTAAAGTGCCAATTTTGAGTCTAACTGACAGGTAATGATTGAAATGTAGCTACATTAAAAAAATTACACGTTCAACAATTTTAAGAGTATTCCTTTCATAATCATAGAATCCCTACAGTATGGAAACAGGTCATTCGGCCCATTAAGTCCACACCGACACATCCAAAGACCATCTCACACAGATCCAAACCCCTACCCTTCCACTGTAACCCTGCACTTCCCCTGGCTAATCCAGCTGGCCTACACATCCCGGAACACTACGGGCAATTTAGCATGGCCAATCCATGCACATCTTTGGACTGTGGGAGGAAACCGGAGCACCCAGAGGAAACCCACGCAGACACTGGGAGAATGTGGAAAATCCACGTAGACAGTCACCAGAGGTTGGAATCAAACCCGGGTCCCTGACGCTATGGCAGCAGTGCTAACCACTGTGCTGCACGGCACAGCTCCATGCCACACTTGGATGCAAATCTCAATTTCAAATTGACTAACAAACTTTATTTCCACTTACCTTATTCTTGGATCTGATAGGCTGTTACCTTCACCATCAGTGTCCTATGCAGGAACATTATCAAAAGCATTGTTGAAGTCTAAGTAT